TGATAATAATAAATCTGAAATCTTTGGAATGAGATAATACTGTGTATTTGACAGCCCGAGTGGTTTATGCAAGAATGAGTAAGCGACAAATTGCTTAAGCCTTTGTGGCTCATGGGATGGGGTCTTAATTTACTACATTTTAATTTAATGGTTAATTAAAACTAATTAAATCTTATGTAAAGCAGGGTGCCCTTTTTAGCTATTTGGCTAATTAGTAATGAATTTACCTGGGGAGAAGGGAACATTGTAGGTTTATTATCTACAGTGTCCAGAAAAAAACCCTCATATAGACATCACAACTCTGCTTGCATGAAAAGAAACTGCAAAACTCTGACCTTTGCCAGACACTCAAGATTTAAGTGTCAAATGCTGCTTCTAAATGCAGGAACGTGACTTATTAAACTTACAGGTGCCACATATTAGCACATGGGCCTATTATTACGGAATTTGGCTGAAATTTAAAAATATTGTAGATTAAAAGGATTGTTAGCTGCCTTAATGTAAACAACATTATATTCTTCCAAAGGAGCAGAATTAGCATTCAGTGTTGCAGTCCATGCTGCAGCTTGTTTCTTTTATTTAAGGTTTTGCTTTGATGCCTATTACAGAGATTTGGCCTGTGTTTATTTCAAAGATGTTTTTGTCTTGCATACATATAAAAGAAAACTTCTAGCAAGCCTTTTTCAGATTTTTTAAAAATTACTGAACTATATTTCATTCTGTAAATCAAGTACTTTTCATAGATGGTAATGGTTTTGTTTTATGGCATTCAGGTAGGGTTTTTCTAAAGAAAAACAGGACTGTGGCATGTTTAAGGAATCCGTAAGAAGGAAAGCTAATCTGATTTACTGTATTTATAGTCTAAAATCCCTTCTATTTCCTGTGCTCTTTCCTATGCTGACTTTTAAACTGGTAGGACTAAAGGAGGATGCCTTGGTAGGAGCTAGACATTCTGTGATCTCTAGGGAGTTATAATGAAGCACCCACTTGTCTACACTTAGCGTCAAAAGCTTCTTTCTATCTCAAGGTAGATTCCTTAGGAAATGCTAATACTCTTAAGAGTACAGCCATGAGTGCCATCTCCCTATGATAGTGTGACACTGTGTTGTAGAATGAAACACAACACAGAAGAGGCAAAAGGAGAGCATTTAGGTATCAAAGAATTTATCTAATCAATTCATATCTGAACTGTAAATCAACCTGATACTGCAAGCAAGTAGTCATCATATCTCTTTAAGAAGCAATCAAAAAACCCCAACCAACCAACACGCTAAGTAATTCAGTGATAAGACTTCATATACTTCTTACTTCCCTTACATCAAGAGTGATACCTGCGTCTGTCTGGACAGACACTCATTTAACCTACCAAACTTCAGTGAATCTACAGACTGAGCAATTTGTGTTTGGCTATCCTTATTTCTGCTAAGTTGTATAATGTGAATCTTTTTTAGGCTGAATTAAGTTGTCTAATTCTTCTATACAGGTCGTATCTTTAGACCTCTGATCATTCTTGTTTTTTCTCTTTTGGACCCTTATCAGTAGCATGTGTCTTGTCTGGTGTGTGGTGCCCAATCTGGCCACTGTATTTCAGTTGGGCTCTTCTTACCAGCGCTGAGAAAAGCAGAGAGGTGACATGTATAGGTGAAGTTTGCAGCTCCATTGTATTCTGGCTTCCAAGAAAGACGTATTCAGTGAAACATTAATTCTGAAAGCCTTAATTCTTCTTTTCCAGGACATGTGGAGTGTACCACCTTTAATGATGTTACAGCATGTCATAAAGCCCGTATTTATACAATTTCCAAGTTGCAGCAAGCACAAGCTGCTTCTCTGCGAGTCCTACAGCTGAACTTTTAGCTGTCTCTGGAGGAACACTATATAGATAGTTTAAATTGACAGCTTCTTGACACCCCCCCCCTCCCCCCCCGCCCTTTGTGAGTGGGAAGTGACCTAGAGTAATACTTAGCCCATCATTACATTCACAGATTCCCTCCTCTTTCAGCATAGCTATTGATAGTCTTCTGTCCCACAGAGCCACTTTTGTCACGCTTGGGACACAAGGTACATGATGAATTGCTCACCTAGGCTTTTAGACAAATCAAGACATCGTGTGTGACCAAAGGAAAAACTACAGCACAGCAGAGGGATGTGATCCCTTAGATTACCTTATCTCAGTCACAGCTCTGCCAGACTGCTTCTCTTGTGATCCCTTTTCTGTTTGCTGTAGCTATGGTGCATGCATCTAGAATGCATGCCGGTAAGTTCTGTTGGCTGTTGCCAGCATAAAGGGACAGAGCTGTAAGACCTGTTATGTTTACTTTTTTTTTTCACTTTCTGGGTCTTAGAAAGATCAGTTCTGCTGAAATGGTCTTCTGGAAATGTAGGCAGTTGTACCCAGTGATCTTCACCATGTGCAGAGGTGGCTGATGAGTTCTTTCCTCTCATAAAAAAAAATAAAAAAAACCCACCAAACCCACTTCAATGCAGATAGCTTGCCAATTTGCGAAATGATTGATAGACTAAGTTAATATTTTTAATGTTTCTGCTGCCTACCAGAGTCTTGTAATGCTGTACAAAATGGCATTTATTAGATGTTGACCAAAGGATAATTTGTCTGTTGTGATCTGAACCCTTGCTGTAGACTAACATTTCAGAATGTGGTGTGTGAATACTTTATTTTCCTATCATTTTGATTCTTTAAAATACTGAGAAGGTGAAGTGGGGAGTTGGGACATGTTCAAATTATTATAGAGTTTAAAGCGAAATGGCGTAGTGAAAAGATAACCACTATGTGCTTCAGCAGCATATTAACAGATCATCATTTGATGCCTAAATGTATGAAAGGATGGATAAGGCTGGAAGTCTTGGGGAGCATAGGTCTGATAAATACAACATGTGCTTCAATTTCAAGGCTCGGTGGTTTCCATGCAGAAAGACTATGCCTGTGGTGGTCTAGGAGTGAACATATTGTGTGGCTTCCAAGTGACTCAGCACTGTTCCACCAGCAGCGAAGTAGAACCAGAATTGCTATAATTGTCCAGCAGAGGATCAGCTTTCATTGCACAATCTGTTTCTTTTCTCAATTACCGAGTGGCATATAATAGGACTTAACAGGGAGAAAAGAGGAGGAAAAATAGCAGAACTGAAAAATTCTTGGTATTTTTGCAAAACTGGATTTTTCTCACTTTTCCAGTTTAAAGAGCAGGAAAAAACGTGTGTCTTAATTTCAAATAAACTGAAAACTGTTTAAATGTCACTGACAGTTGATTAGATAAATTTTGCCATATTATCAATTATTTTCTCAAATTCTAAAGTTGGTGGATAAGATGTGAAGTCTAGCTGGCAGGGCAAGCTGCATGATGTGGCTTGGGAAACTTGTGTATGGAAAATGTCCTCAGGTCATGGAGCTGTGAAAGGAAATACAAGTGTGTAGGTAATACAGGTTAGGAAACAGTTTTGATAGGCTCCTATTCTAGCTGGGGATGGGGACATGTCGGGTTTTGTTGCTGAATGACTGGATTAGGCCTGCTGTGCTGTTCCCAGGCAAGTTCATAGTGTATGAAAGTCAAGGCTGTCAACATAGCAATAGCTGTTGTCATCCGAGCCCAGTGAATTGGAAAGGTCATGTGATGAGAGAAAGGAGGTCAGGCCGAGATTTGGCAGCGCTAAGGGCTCAAGCAAGAGCAGTGCAGTGGCTGGACCTGCCTCTTAAAATAATTGATACGCAGTGAGAGTAAAGCTTTCTTGTTGGGCTTAACAATTGTTTGTAATTGACCTGCCGTTGAATTGGGGAGAAAAAAAGCTTCTGAGCATGGCATGTCAGAGAATAGCTAACAACATTAAATAAGTAAAGAACATACCATTTTGCTCTTTCAAATATTAAAATAAAAGCAGGATTGAGTTTGTTCAAGGTAATTTTTTATTAAAGAAGTGACTCCTAAAATTCAATCCTCTATTGTGCTACTTCCTTCTGTTAGTTGCAAATGCTTTTGGATCCTGTAAGCACTGATTAAACACTAATGCGAAGATACCTTTTTCAGTATAATTACTAGGGGTAGTATTAATATACTAGCACATTGTAAATCCCTTTCAAATGTATTTATTCTAAAAGAAAGATGCAGGAAGAAATACCGGTAATAATACCACAAAATAGCATTCTCCTTTATTAACTGAGGCCTTAATTGGGGCAGGGGGGAGGTAGTGTCAATTTAGGATCAATGTAAATAAGCTTTTGTAGAGCTCTCTGAAACCAGGTCTTTTTGAGCACTGCCACTGAATCAGCTTTTTTCTTTCCCATTTTTTCCATCTTCTACATCAGCTGCATGTTCCCTTCTGGGTTTTTCCCTTTGAGCTGCTTGAAGTTAATTTTTTGGTTATCCCCTCTTGTCCCTTCATCTATCAAGTTAAATTTTTGTCACAACAGGCTTGGAAATGTGTTTAAAAGCTGAAGCTGAATTACATTTATACCTTTTGGTAAAAACTTGGAGATAAGGTATCATTGGATTCTCTGAAACTCATTATTATACATACCTTTGCTCTGATGTCTAATTTTTTTTCCCAGCTGTCTTTCAAAACATTTCAAAACATTTGTGACTTCTGCCTTCTACCTTTTTGCAGAAGTCTAATCTTCACCGTTTTGTATTAAATGGTGACCATTTTAATTGGCTCTTCTTTACAAAATCTGTTTTCAAACATCCTTGAGAAAACAGTTGTCTCCAATCTTGCTACTGTTTTTAAAATGTGTGCATGAAGTTTTTTAAAAAAAGTAATAGTGCACATGCAAAAATCTGCGTGTATCTTAGACTGAATTTCTCGGCATTGGTTTTGCAATCAATACTTTTTTAAAATAGAAACTTTGGCCAAGCTACTCTTCTCCTTTCATAGTGCTAAAAATATCAACTTGAACTACAGCCTTAATTTGGTCTGAAACGGGGTAATGTCACATATTTAAAAGTCTGTATGTGAAAAATGATTTATTCATATGTCTGGTTTATTTCAGGAAGATGTGGAAACAGGAATACACCTTGATCCTGCTATCAAGGAAGTTCAATACAATCCCACTTACGATACCATGTTTGCACCTGAGGTAAGGAACAATATTGATCTTTAGAACAGAAATGCCTTTGGCTTAAAGGGCAGAGGTTCTATAAATCTTGTGTGAAATTCATTTAAGACATACCTTCTTTGGATGCTTGCTCTATTTTGGAATCTAATTTGGGCAAATTGAAAAAGATTTTACACAGGTGTGTTGGTATTTTTAATGCTTGAACTTTAATCTTCTGCATAAAGCTATTCTAAGAAGAATCTTAAAGCGTTTATCAGAATTACAGCTACAGATATTAAAAATCAAGTTAGGAAAATAGCATTATAAAGATGTTGAGTAAAACATGAACTGCATTAAAGTAGTCTCTTACTATTTTCACATTTTTGTTATTTACTCATCGTGCTACTTAGAGCAAAACGAGTGCTTGTAAGTCTTGCGGATATATAACTTTTAAGAAGAGGATTTAAAATTAAAATCCAAGTAGTTTCAGTATAACTATTCACATCAGTGTTAAGTATTTTAGTAACTTAAGCTATGCTAAATGTCTGCAGTGAAAAACCATTTTAGGCTGAATTTGGACTGCCTGGTGCCATGTGAAATGGCAGTTTCTAATTTATTATAACTGACAGACCTATCTGAAAGATAAAAATAGCTGTTCAAGCATTTAACTTTTTTCAGTATTTAACTTTTTTGTACAGTTTGTCTGCTGTTAGACCAGGAGTTAGCATTCCAGGTAGACAAAGGCTGCATCAATCTGAAATTTCTACATTAATAATACTTTATGTTTAGAAAACCTTTTGTGGAACCACATAAATTTACCTTTTCATAGAAAGCTTGCATTTTGCAACATACAAAAGCCATGAAGTGGGTGAGCAAAAATACAAGATAACACTGTAGTAAGTTTAAATCACTAGAAGTGTTTTAGTTAGGGAAACCCAATGTGTGACAGGCTCAGGTCTCTGCAATTATGGCTGTCGAGCATAGGGGTTACAATTAAATTTTAGTTTGATAGTAATCTCAGTGTGTTGCGTTTGTTTGTATTACTGTTCTTTTCCATAACCATGGTATGTGTGGTTGGGAAGACTGGGATTTGTCATCTCGCAAGATGAAAAGCAAGGCAGGGTTTCATAAGTGTGTTTCCTGGAATAATATAGCAAGTCCCTAGTTGCTTTTTAAATGCATGGAAGTATTGTTGGCAGTGTAATTTCCATATTAAGAACAAGAGTTTAGTAGGACCTGATACCTATGTCGATATCTGCCCCTTACAAGGGATAGTATGCTGTGGTTTTGTCTTCTGAATGCTTGTACTGATCGCATACTGAATGGCAGTGTTTTGTGTCAAGTAGTTGCTATTGATTTTGTCCTCTTATCAGTAGTACGGGCTAAAAGTTCAGTCATGAATTGTTCAAAGCAACTGTGTAAGCGATCAGTGTGTGAAATAACAGACTAAGAAGCTTATTTGGTAGTCATGAAATAGAAAGTTGAAGGGATTTTGCATTACAATTTTTGAAAGACAATTTTTTTTCCTGTGGTGGTTTTTTTTCATGAAAAAGTACACACATATAAATAAGAAATTAGTAATTCTTACATACTTTCTTTTAACATTGTTGATGTAGTTTGGACCAGAAAATCCATTTAGGACTCAACAAATGGCTGCACCTAGAAATATGCTTTCTGGATATGCAGAACCAGCTCACATCAATGATTTCATGTTTGAACAACAAAGAAGAACATTTGCAACCTATGGTAAGTCCTTAGCAATGGAATTCACCTGCACCTTTATTATGCACAGGTTTGACAAAATAAGTTGTTCTCTATAGAACAGTTAATAGGACTGCAAGTTCTGTAAATTACTTTTTAACAGACTTACTAAAATGGTGAAAGGTCTTTAAATGAGAATCCATACAGCTGGAGATGATAGTATTTATTTGGGAAATCTCATTTTATAATTCCCTTTGAAACTGTAATCAAGTGTATGACCTCCTACCAAACCTCTCTAAATTAATCCTTCCATTAGTTGCATCAGTATAGAAAACACTAATCAAAATTTCACACTTTTAATATGACAAATAACTGTAGATCTGTTATGCAAATAGATTCTTTCATGTGATTCTAACTAAAGGTAGCTCTCTCAAAACCAAAAGGAAGCCTTACTGAGTTGTTGGGTTCTTCAGAGTGGCTGCCTCTAGATACAAGTGGAATGAACGGGAATCAAAGAAAGTGGGAATATATTACTAAAATATTCTTAGCAAAAACAGACTCAAAGGTGTATCTCTCAAAGTCAGTCTATTAGGCAAGTTCTGATACTTCCTGCGTAAACTTGGTGTCACAACACTCAACTTTTTGCTCAACAAACTTGTGGCTTTATTTGTATTTACATTCAAAAGATTACTCTCTGCAAACTGTCACGCCTCCACATCACATCCCTACACACGAGTCCCCTTAACTTCATTAGGGCTTTATGCATGCATGAATGCACTTACTGCACTTACTGCATTCTGTGATGGATGAGGTTGGGACTTTATTGCTAACATCTGTGGGAGCCATGTATTACAGTGAAACCTGGAAGAAAAAAATACCTGAAATCAGACACTGTAACAACCTTGGTTTCTCTTTGTATTTGGATTTTATTAGAGGTTTTCTTGTAAATGTTAAAAGTTGAAATACATGTAAGACAAGTTGTAGTTTTTTTTCTTTTACACAGTTTTAGCCAAGAAGTACTTTTCACTGAGTTGTTAGGATGTGACATATAAGCAAAATGCCAATATTAAGAAATGGACATGTAGTTCCATAGCATAACTTTTAACTTACTAGAGTGCTATTTTGATGTTAGAACTTGATGAACAATTTGGGTAGGAGCCTGTTCAGGGTCTGAATAGGCAGATTAGATTTTGCTTTGTGAAATTAAATGTTGCATTGTGCGGGTTGTGCATTTTTGCATGTGTAAAACATATTGGAAAAAAAGATCTGTAGGCATGTAGTGTTTGGTTTTGGGGTTTTTTTGTTTGTGAAGTTTAGTTTGGGAGAAGATAGAACTAGTAAGTACTCAAAGCTCCTGCTATTGGTTTATGTCATCAGTGTACAGCAACTGCCTTGAAAGCTATATTACAAGAGAGTATAAAATTCAGCTTTCTAGAAATGTTCCATAGATAATGATCTGGATACAGTGAAAATGGAGCTATGAAAAGGCTGAGGTAGGCAAGAACAAGCACTGAGAAGCTGAATTTCAAGCTAGAAGATGCAGTAAATGAGCATGATATCCTGGCTCACTAGAAGATCTGTTAAAAAAAGCATTCCTCTAAGTTGTCAAAAAGCTGTCTATTAAAAGATTCAATATTCTCTTTTTACATTTGGAAGGAGGTAATAAATATCGTCTCAGAAAAGACCAAGTATAAAAACACAAGTATAATTGCTAGACATAAATCTAAGCCATACATGTTTTTGATGACTAAGTCATAACATATTGGAAGATCAGAGAAAAAACCTCTTAAAAGCTGCAGATCGTGAGACTTCTGGCCTCTGTTTTGCTGTTTAGCACCATTGTGCTAAGGCAGGAGGTCTCAAATCTGAAGTGACTAGCATGTACATAAGCAGTGACTAAAAATGAAGTACAAGTGTGGTACAAGACGGTGGTAAATGAGATCATGTATCCAAACCAGCTCAACTGCTGCAGTCTTTCAAAAAAAAAAAAACAACACACTTTATATATAATCTTGAAAGTTAATACATGCTCACTGAGAAACCTATATATTAATCACAAACAAAACCCAAGTGTTTTTTTGGCAAAGTCTTTCTCATCTACTTCTATTGCAGTAAATGTTTACTATCGAAAGTACTTTTTCCTTGTGATGCTTGTATTGCTCAGAACATCGGTGCTGTCATTGACTGAGGGTCCTTCTGGCCTTTTATCCTATTAGACAGGTGGACAGCAATGGGTGCCTAGAGAGGCACAGAAGAAAGAAGCAAGCAAATAGTGATATGTTTGAATACTTTTTCAAGACTTCTCAGTCTCTCAACCAAGGGCAATGTCTCCATATTTATTAATTTTCAATGAATTTGTTAATTTGGTTTGGGTTTTGTTTTTGACAAATTTGTCCATTTGCTTCGTGAACCCATAAAAGTTTTCTGTGTTATGTAGTAACCTATTGCAGGCAGTTCTGCAACTTACTTCCTCACACAAGGTGTTGGTACCTCTGTTTTGAACTTGTGGAACTTAACAGCCTTCTAGTTTGATTTCATATCCTCTAGTCTCTTGTGTTGTCATTTCTTATTCACCATTTCTGTGTCATTGCTTATTTTATAGATCTTGGCCATAATTTCATTTCAGTGTGCTTTTTTCAACCTGAAAAGATCTGGTCAATCTGCTAGTTCACTGTATCCTTCCCAAGATGAACAGCAAAGCTGTGCGTAGCATTTAACATGTAATCTCACTGTGAATTTGTTCTGTGGCTTAATAAAATGAGAGGCTTTTTCCCCATCAATTTCTAAGAATTCTTACTACTGTATTTTTCTCTAAGACTTTGAGTAACTTTGTAAAATCTACTTGTTGCCTTTTACCAGATCATTTATCGATATGTTGAACAGCACAGGCCTGAGCATGGATCTGCTAGCAACTTTCCTGTGCTGTGGAAACTGACCATTTATTCTTGCCAATGTCTTAATAACTTTTAATCAAAAGACCTGTGGGGGGTTTTGATGTGTCTTTGAGGCACCCTGTAATCAGTCTAACTCAGTTTCGTAAAGGTATCCAACATCAACCAAGCTTTGCTCATTCACATGATTGAACATCACCTCAGAAATATTCTGAAGGTTTTGTCCTTGTGATGTACCTGTACAGAATGCCCTGTTGTCTGCTCTGCTGCAATATATAATGCTCATCCAAGTGCCTAGTCCTTGTTTTCCTTATTATAGTTTCTACTGCTTGAAACTTCTAACCATATAAATGTCTGGCTGGTTAACCTGTAGTTCCCCAGATGTCCTCTGAAGCATCGTTTGAAAGTTGGCATCATATTTGATACGTTCAATTTCTGTCATATTGAGGTGAGAGTTTTTGTACTGTGATTTGGCTTTAGATCTTTTGAATGACTACCATCTGGTCCTGGTGATTTGTTAACACTCATTTGACTCTTTAGTCTCCTGACATTTCACTTTGAGGTAGATATTTTGTCACGTTACCCATAAAGAAAGGTTCTAGCACAGGAGCCTCCCCAAGCTCCTTCATGCTGCTCTCTTTTTTTTTGTCATTCCTTGATCATCTCTTGGCCTACATGCTGTCTGGTATGCTTTCTACCCCTGCAGATTTTGACAAAGGACAAGTGTTAGTTTTTATACCTTATGTGATTTTGGGGGGGAGGCTGCCTTACTGCAGATTTTACTTTGTCTGCTAGAGTTTGGTTCTTATTTTTCACGTTTGGATGCAACTTCAGCTCTTTGAAGAATAGTTCCTTATTTCTAATAGTTTCTCTTTACATACGGTTCAGTCATCCTCCCTTCCTTCTGGTCTCTTTAAAGTCTTCTTTTAATAGCTGGCAGCCATTAGTTCTTTTTCTCCAGTGTGGTGTCTTTGAAGTGTCCCTGCATTCGGAAAAGGCTTTACCCTTTGGTGCTTGCTTTCTATTCCTTTTTAAAATCTTTATTTTATATAGCCCTCCTATTTTGAGATTGAGATCATTGTAGTAAATGTTTCTACAGCTTTCTTTGCTTCCTCAACAATGTTGGTTGTTGATTTATACTGTTTTCATCACATCTTGGTATGAGATTTGCACAGTGTACTACAAGCAGGCAGCTAAAATATCTCATTACTACTGTGC